TCTCTCTCTCTCTCTCTCTCTCTCTCTCTCTCTCTCTCTCTCTATATATATATATATATATATATATATATATATATGTATATATCACTGTCTCCCCTTCCTTACTTGCTTTTTCCTCCCTCCCTGCCTTCCTTTCTTCCTTTTTTCTTTCTTCTTTTGTTATTGCTTCTGTTTGCATGTCTGCTGTATTCCATCAAGAAGATAACTTACCTCTGCATGACTATTACCTGTCTTTCTCTCATAGTCCAGTGTGCTGTGACATTTCTATGCTTTTGTTATCTTCTTTGGCTCTAACTACATGACTATGTAGGTCAGGTTTCTGCAGTTTATTTAAGTTAGATCATCCAGGATTTTAATGTGCTAATTTCTCACAGAGAGCATGTGATTGGTTCAACATCACATATACTGTTCGATTTGTGTGCCAAATGTCTGTGGCTAAGAGAGCAGCGTTAGGCTGAGGTGTACCTCTTCAGCAAGGTCTATGGATGGGGTTCTGTTTTCTCTGAAAACAGTACGCACTGATTGGCACATTTAGGATAATATCCTTAATTCTTCCAATAACATCACAAGGCCAATATTCTCTCCATTATGTAAATGAGGAAACTGAGATGTGGAAAGTTCAAATAACCTGCCCCAAATCATGCATGTAGTAAGTGCTAGTGCTCGTATATTTCCATCATGACATAATTCACGTCGACTGATGAGCAGCACACAAATAACAACGTTGATATTATGTAAAGGTTATAAGCATTTGGTCCCAAATGTGGATTGACACTGATGTTACATGTTTAGCCTGGAGAGGTTTAGGACCATTTGCTATTTAACTTCAAAATAATCAGAGGACACCTTAAAAGAAAAGTGAACAGTCACTGTAACAATGGAGTAGGTTTTAATACAAAAATGACCGTTAATATATATTACCAGAGTCTGCTCTCTTCAGGTCCATTTTAATTCATAGAAAGAGAATATTGTTTACAATATTTCCAAACAAGTCATGCAATATTTTAATTTATGCAGTATTTTAATTTATTCCCTTGGCTCATAGATTAAAGTGAACAATAAATACTAAAAAAAAATGCAATGTAAAACTGAGGCTTGTGTTGTAATAGATATAGGGTAGTATAAGTTGCACGTTGAACAAAGTCACCACTTTGAAGGAGAAGCCACTCATAGCATAGACATTGTAGGTTTTTATGTTATGATAATACTCTCTCATGGCCAATCGTGAAAGATCTTGTTTCTGACAAAATTAATATATTATGACAATTTTCCAGTAGACAGGTTGTTGTGGTCGGCCCCATTATCTGAAGAAAAGGACTGCTAAGTAGTTGATGTGTTTATTTCTAGGTAACACTAGCAGTCAACCAGCCTGATCTTAAATTTAACTCCATTTCTTATCTTTGGTTAGTATACATACAAATGACTGGTCATAGTGCTATTATCCAGGGTCTTGTCTTGTTGTCTAGTGGATAAATAGGACTCAAGGTACAATAAAGACTGCATCACTCTTGAAGCACAAGAAGTCATGAGTAAGATGAGAAAGAAGCTACCAATTGCACCGGAAATGGGGCGGTGGGGTTGTGATAGTGGATCAGAAGATTCAAAGGGAAAAACAGAGGGTACTTACTCTGAAGAGCCAAGAAAGGGCAGAAAGTGGATTGTCATTTGAAGAAATTCAATGCACAGATATACAGAGGCACAGAAGTGTATGTTCTTTGCCCTGAGGAAATGGTGAGAAGTGTCTGTGAAACACGTTTATGGAAGACTGAAGAAAATGAGATTAGAAAAGTAGATCAGTGCCTAGCTGTGGAGATCTGGAGAAGCATGTAATGAATTTGTATGTCATCTTTTCTTTTACCCTGTGGACAGTGGGGAGCCATCAGTGTGGGTACTTGATAGGTGATTAGCCACCAATCACCTTATCAAATACATTTATGGATGCAAAAGACATTAAAATATTATAATATATTACTATGTAATTACTATGCTGATAAAATTTTAAACTCCTAAGGAAAAAAAGCTCTCTGGGGAAAAAAATGAAATGGTCAAACTCCTACATGTAAAAGAAGATATACTGAGTAGATTTTCAACCATGAAAGAAATTTAAAAATAAGCATTACATACTAGTAACTATCTCACCTAAGACACTGTATCAAAAAGACATTCTTTACAATTTTAAATAAAAGATAATTTCCCATTGTGTGAATGAATTCAGAATTTAGACAAAGATATAGTGCTTCTTGGGTAAACATAACCTTGATTTTAAAAATATAACTGGCAAAAATATTATCAAAAATCAAACTTAAGAGCACTTGTAGCTACATAGATAAAAGTGCAAGTGTACATTAAAATGTAATCAGGAGTTACCCCTGAAAAGTATAGGTGATTTTTATTTTCTTTACATATTTTCTAATGTTAAACATATGTTTTGCATTTTCTAAATTTTCTATAATCTTATATTCCATTTAAAACTAAGAATTACAAATATAAAATATTTGTAATTTGTATAAAATATTAATATCCGATATTTTAAAGAAATCATCAGTAATGGTAGTCCAAGAATAGTGTAGAAAGGTTTTTTATTGTATTGTTATTTAGAGTAGCAAAAATGGGAAAGAGATCCCATAAATGACAAAAAAGTAAAAGAATATTAATTCAAATTATATATAGTGGAGTATCATATAACCAATTAAACAGCTATTTTAATATTATTTATGACATGACGTGAAGTTACATAAAAATGATATATGGGGCCGGCCGAGTGGCGCGATGGTTAAGAACTCGCTTGGGATGCCAGAGGGCCCCGGTTCGGATCCCACATATGAGGGCCAGTGACACTGCCCTCCACAGCTAAGATGCTGAACAACAGCTCAACCTGGAGCTGGGCTGCCGTGAGTCGCCGGCGACGGCGTGGGCTGCAGTCCCTGTGGCAGTGGATTGCCATGGGCTACCGTGTGTGGCCAGCAGCCAGCGTGAGCGGCCAGCAGCCGCAGTGAGCGGCCGTCCAGAAGCCGGCGACTGATCTGCCTCGCCAGGGAAGAGCGCAATGATGGTGCCAACTTGGGCCAGTGAAGCAACATCCTCCACAACTAGATTGAAGAACAAAACGACAGCAACTTGTCTGTTCCCCTTTCCCCAATTCCCCAGCACTGTTCCCATCCCCCCAATTCCCCAATAAAAAAAATCTTTAAAAAAAAAATGATATATGGTTTCACTTCATTGCCACTGGGACACACCTGCATTTTCAAACTTTGAGGAATGACAATAAAATGTTAACAGTGGTTCTCTCTCTGTAGTGGAATAATATTTTATTCAATATAACTTTTTTCTATTTATTCAAATATTTATCCCTACATGTAGATTTTGATTTATAATCAGAAAAAAAATTTAAAACATTCTACCATGATGTAAATTCAGAGCAAATTAGAAATAGAATGTAGTTTATATGAGTCACCCATAGAACCACAGCCACCTAGGTAGCAACTTTGTGCCACTTTTTAAATTTAAACAAATAAAGGAAAAGTTTATCAGCAGCTAGCAACATTCCAACACACCACACACACACATACACCCACAGTTTCTCTGTTCTCTTTTCTGCTCTCCTCCTCTCCCCTGACCCCCTAAAACTGCCCAGTCTTGCATCAGTTTGCATTATCAGTTCCTCCACATGGTGTCCTGATAAAAAGCAGAGGGGGCATTGGACCCAGGCAAAGAGAGATTTGCTCCTTGACCTGTATGAACCTGGCTACCCCACATAACATCTTTGAACTTTAATTTTTTGGTCTTCCAAATGCAGGTGATAAATACATAGAAGAATTGAAAGATTAAATGAGATCTGTTCTAGTATATGCAAGGTGTTCATTAAATTTTAGCTTTCTTCCTATTTTCTTCTCTTTAATACTTTAAAATGTTATTTCTCTTTATAAGTCTGTCTATACTCCTATTGGCTTTCTTGAAAGATACCAACATTTTTTTTTATTTCCCCCATTTTTCTCATTTTTAAATAATAGATTTCAATTATTTCCCTTCAATCCACAGTATAGAAATGCTGATGATCTTTCTTTGGTCTCTTTAAATTTCTTCAGACTTCATCTGCATTTATTTATAATTTTTCACTCTTTTTTTCTTTCAATGTTATCTATTACTCATTCACAAATCTTTAAACACTCAGCATTGTCTATGGAAAGAAAAAGATGCACATGTAAGTTGTTGTATTATGTCTTTCTATCAAATATGTCTAAAAGATAAGAAAATTTGAGCTGTTTAATCAGTTCATGCAGAAGTCATACCCACTATGTTAATTTTCACTAGTCTTCATCATTCCTTTTAATGTCTTAGTTTTATTTTCTCTTTTTAAAGTCTATTATTTTTACCTTTTTTAGCTTTGAATTATAAAATCGATAAACTATTGACAGCATAGAAACATTAAAAATGTTAACAAAAGTCACTTGTCTCAACCTAAAATGCAACTCACCTCTTCTTCCTACAATAAACTAATTGTACCCATTGGAGGTAATCTAAGTTAATGGTTCATGTTTATGTATTCCCTACCCACCCATCAATTACTATTGCCTTCAAAAGAGTGCTCTGTGTTCTTGTGTTTATGTGGCAATTTGTTCCAAAGACCCATTGATCTTCAAAAACATCTTAAGTGAATTAATGAACTGGTCTAATATTTTTGAAGATGGAAAATGTTTTACAGACAAGGAAAATGAAGAAGCCAAAGGTGGTTAATTTTTGGTTGGGAAGGCAAGCATGACAGCTCCAGGAACAGAACCTCTAGATCCAGTGTTCAATCCTTAGTTCCTACCCAGTTCTTTTCAGTTAAACTGAAGAACTTGTGATCAGATCAGCATTTGAAAAAAGTAGGAGCTTTTAGCCTCAAATATTTTCCTTATGAAAGAGTTCTTCTTATTATCACTGATATCTCAAAAATTGAAATTTGGCTGAAGTTTCCATTGGTATACCAGACTAGTTTTATATTATTCCAGTTGTGCTTCTTAATCACCACTCCTTGAAACTCTGACTCTACTCCACCTCAATCCCTGGCCTCTATTACCCACTTCCCTAGAATCACAATTGACCCTCATACATACAGTCCTCTCTCTCATGAGGTTCACGTACAACTTATTCTCACGAAGTTTATATGTAAGATGAGGCTTAATGTAGTCTTTCTTTTCAAAGCACTGCATTTTTTAGATAAGAATGGCTGAACTGGATAGAGTGTATCTCTACTTGTAGAAATATTTCCATAGGGAGGTGAGGATTGTATTGTTTTCATCATAAAAGCAATCTTTTGAGATCCTCAAAATTCCACTCGCTCTACTTAATTATTAATAAAACAAGAGCCCATGTAACTGCCTAGCGCTATAAAACAATCATCCATAGTTGCTGAGACAAGATAGGACTGACTTTTTCTAAATGTGTATTTCTACTTGTTGGGCATTTTAGTGCAAAGATACAGGGATTATTGGAAGTGGACTAGACCATCAATACTTCTTCCTTGCCCTTGCAACTAACTCAGGAGATTTTAAAATGGATTTAGCATAAAGGAAGTGAACTACGAAACCAACTCAACAAATGTGAAAGGAATGTTATATTCCTCAGATGTAATCAGTATAAAACAATAATGCCCTTTTAGCTTCTCCATCCCCTCCCTACTCAGGATGTTAAGGCACTACACAGATTATTAAACAGCATTTCTGATTCCCTTGAACACACTGGATTATTTTAAGGGCTTAAATAAATACAGATTAAAACCATTAATATCAAAATGCCAGACTCCTGAAAAATATGCCAGCAAAAAGATTCACCTAAAAAACTAAATGCTACTTCTTGTTATTTTTGAACCAACGCACAATACACAGCTAATAAAAATGTGCTTTTTTTTCTTAATAGCTTACTGATCCCTGTGCTACCATAGTCTGCAAATGAGGGACTTGACCTAGTCAAAATATTCTATTAATCCAATATGTTTTTCAGCTATCATCCTTATGCATAAAATTATGACACATAGGCATGAAAAAATAGTTTGTCAAACATTTTTTTTAAATAAGGAACTTTTCATGTTTAATATACACAGCCAGAAACCTTTAGTCATTCTTCATGCATTTCTTTTATATCCTTCATCATCTCAGGAACTTGAATTTTGCTTCTGTAATATCTCTCTTACCCAGTCCCTGTTCAGCATCCTCACTTCTTCTATTTCCTTAGTTCAGTTACTCACCATTTCTATTTGGACTGGTGCAGTAGACTTCTCACTGGCTAGTCTTCCTGTCTCCAGTTTTCAACTCTTTCCATTTCCCGTGCACACTGCTATTGGAAGAGCTTTCTGAATTGTACATTTGATCATTTTATTTTGTACTTGAAACCATTGCCTCTGATAAAAATTCTAAATTCATTAGTATGGCACGGGAGGCCCTCTGTTATTTGAAACCAGTTTTCCTTTCTATTCTTGTCTAAAGTGGTGTCTCGCTCCCTCTCTGTCAGGCTACACAGCCACAAAGTCACTCCTGTTTGCTCCCTGGCATTCTTCTATTTCACACCCTGTCTCTTGGTTCACAGTGTTTCCTCTATCTGCCATATTTTCGTTTGTCTCCTTGAAGAATATGTCTTCATCTTTGAAAATTCCAGTTAAAGATCAATTCCTCCATAAAGTTTTTTTTTTTCACTCCCATATCTGGAATTGAATAATCTCTTTGTGTTTATTCCTTTTACAAAGTGCTTGGGCTTACCTGTTCTCCCTTCTTATCAGATTCTCCTGGTAGAATTAAACAATCCCTCTAGTGAATATCCTTTTTCTGTTACAGTGCTTAGAGCATGCCTTTCGCCCACTGTCAGGGTGTAAGCTTCTTAGGAGCAGGGGCTATAGCTTCTTCATTTTTGTATTGCTAGGTCTTTACCTAATGCCTAAAAGACATTTAAAATATGTTATTGGAATAGATTTTAAATATTTTATTCTAATATCCTAGCATCTTGAATATTTCATTTGGTCAAAATATTTTTGTTATCGAAATTATAGACTAGTGTCTTTCAGGTTTATACCACTTATTTTCATGACAGCTAATAATCAAAGAATACACATGTTTTAAGCTTTCAAAACAGGTGGATCAGGGCATCCTTAAATCAATGTTCAATTTAGGAGAAAAAATATGGGCTAAAATAATCAAAATTTAATTATAAGTCCATTTTAACAATCATGAAATTTGGTACTCAAATCCCAGCCATTGACTAGTTGAATGACCCTGGGTTTTTTTTTTCCAGCCTCATTTCCTTGATTTATAAACTGGAAACAAAGACAGGTACCAGAAAAAAACTTTGTTATTACAGAAATCAAATGTGTCTGTATACGAGTTACAACATATTTATATTATATGCATTTTGTGTATATCTATAAAGCTCTACACAATAAGATTTAAAACACACTTCTACTTAATTAACAATGTAGCCACTTTGTAGACTACACTTTAGATGTTTCTTTGAACAGTGCAGATAACAGCCTTTTCCAAAGAAAACAATGATAATAACTATGTTCTCTCTTATTACAGGCTTATGAAAAAATTGCCTACCTTCTCACTAATTTAGGTAAGTCCATTTTTCTTACTTCACTCCTTGCTAAAAGAATACCCTATGGGCATATCAGTCTTTAGTTGCTTTATGTACATTAGTATTTTTAATATCAACTTTGGTTATATAATTATCAATAAAAATGGAAGAGATGGCAGAGAATGCTGGACTGCATCTCATGACCATAGAGAGGGAAGGTATATGTTGTTACAAAGTCTCCTTACTAAAAATTAACAAACCTAGTCCTTCCTACATTAGAGTGCTTTTTTTCCCTTAGCTTTTCAGTTCTTTGTTTTTTCCCCTCCAGCATTTACTTTGTCAAAGTATTTTACTACATGTACACAATTTAAAAGGCAAATTAGTATTAAGAGCTTTAGAATGAAATCTTGTTATTTGCCACATTACCCATTATTATTTTCTGTGTCCCTGAGGGACGACGTTTTAACAGTTTAATTGATTCCTTCTGCTCTTCCCCATCTTGTTTCTAAATAACATGCTTCTTCTGCCATTCTTGGAGGTTTCAACTTTAGGAATTTATTGCCTTATCATTAAAAAGCCAAGAACTTAGGTCCTAATGTTTCCTGCAGTGTCTGGTCTTCACACACTCCCCGTCCATCACTTGTTATGCACAACTGTTGTTTCTCCTCCTTCCAAACTAGTTATATCAGCGTTTTTAGCCGAATTAATAATTAGTGTTCAAATCATTGTGTCTATATAGCTATTTTCATATCCAAGGCATGATGTATGTGATTGTTTTCTTTCTTATACAACCTTTATATTTTAATGAGGCTAATAATAGCACATGTTGCTTAATTTTCTACATACTTTTCTTTTTCCTTTTTTCTTTTTTTTTTTAAGATTTTATTGGGGAATTAGGGAAGGGGAAGAGCCAAGTTGTTGTCCTTCAATCTCAGCTGTGGAGGGCGCAGCAAGCTCAGCTCCAAGTCCAGTCGCCATCCGGCAGCTCGGGGCCACTCAGCTCAAGGTGCCATGTTCAATCTTAGTTGTGGGTGGGCGTAACCCACCATCCCATGTGGGAGTCGAACCTTGTTAGGAGCACATGCTCTCACCAGCTGAGTCATCCTGCCACCTGTTGGCAATTCAGCAGCACTTCAGCACGGGCGCAGCTCACTGGCCCATGTGGGAATCAAACTGGTGACGCTGTTGCTCAGAGCTCGCACTCTTAACCAACTGAGCCACTCGGCTGGCTCCTCTACATACTTTTCTTAATTTATCACAGACTTTCTGCCCCAACTCTAAATTCTCTCTAAATACATTTTTAAAATATGAATTATTCTACTCATTTTCAACTCAGAGCTATCCTCCCTGAACCCACTGTCTGCTTTAATCTCAATGGCTACCCTTTAAGCTTGTGGTCAGCTGCATCTCCACTTCCGTTCTCCAGCACTCTGGGAATTTCTTTGCCTTTATTTCTCAGTTTGATGTTCCTTTTGGGATCCTGTGGCATCATCTGCCTTGGCGTTATTCCTTGTTTTGCTACCTGGAAAGTAAATTTCTTGAGACCTTGTGTGTCAGAAAATATTTTTTTTCTATATTTTAACTTGAATTTGGGTCCCCTAGTTTGGGGGACAGAATTTTTATTACAGAGCTATTTAAACAGCGATCTTTTATTGTTTGAGGACTCACCAGACCCCATGCACTGTACTAAACACTTCTCATTCATTATTTTGTTTTATTGTCATCACAATCCAATGACAGTAAGATCCTTATTTTATGGATTAGAACACCATAATAATTAAGTTAACTAAGTAGAATTGAAATGCATATATGACAAACTCCACTTAACTATGGTGGAGTAACTATCACTCCATTGTGTTACTTCTTCTGTAATGTAGTTACAAAGACAAGTGATAATAGAAGGAACATTGTATGGAGGGAAGAACATGCTCTGGAGTTAAAGGATTATATCGCTTGGACATTATGTGACGATGAGCAAGTTTTCTCTCTCCATTCTTTCTTCCCCTCCACGCCCTCTCCTTCTCTTCTCTTCGCTCCTCCTCCTTTTTTTTTTTTTTGAGTCTCAGTTTTCTCATTGGTAAAATGAGAATGATAATAGTTCCTGTTTCATCATTATTGTAGAATGACTACCTGCTGCATGACAAGTGCTCAATAAATGGGAATAGTGTTTCATTCTTTAATCCCTCTGACCTATAGTTTCTCAGATGGGTAATGAAGCACTTGAAGTAGGTTGTCTCAAAGCTTTCATCTAGCTCTGATTCCTTATATTCATTTGCTTTTAAAGTACTCTTAGCCATGATGGAGGCCAACCTAAGAAAGTAATTTGGGGGACCATAGTTAACAGTAGGAAACAGAACAGTATTTGTGCTAAGGACCAGGAGCACCTAAGCACTCCGGTGAGGAAATGTCAGCTCTCCTGATGGCTCTCACTGATGCCCCCCAATCAGTTGCTCTTTTGCGTCCCCCACAAGCCCCTCCTATTTCTGGAACCTACCCCTTTTTCACTGGGAGTTCCCCTGGACCTGCTTCCTCTTTATTCTGTGATTGGTTCATGCATATATTTTGTCCTATCGTTCTCTTAAATTTGATCCTATCTAACTTTCTATCTTTCTTGAATTCCTAAATTATATTAAAATATATATTAGATGTGCATATGTATTTTCTGTCATTTGTATACTGCGTAGGATCAGAGACTGCAGTACATGCTGCCATCTTCATTGAATCTCTCTCATCAGTTTATTTTGTTTTCTTTTTTATTTTGTTTTGTTTTAAGAGTCATAGAACTATATGATATGAGAATTGACCAGGCTCTTCAAATCAACTTGTCTACATTTCTCATCTCGTAGTTGATAAAACTGATTGCAAAAAAACGTGAAGAGGACCTGCCTGAGGTTAACAGCAGTTAGGTGTAAAGCTAAGAACACTGATGTAGCCCTCCTTTCTGTTTACCATTCCACACAAAATATTTGCTCTTCAAGGAACTCTGGACAATTTAGGTCCCTATAATTGAGCATAGCCAGTTTGGGTGGAGGACTGATTCAGTATTTATGGTTACCTTCTAAATGACAAAAACACAGAACCCTGAAAATCTTTATATCACAGGCATCATCTTTTCATAGCTGTGGGGAAAGTCTGAAAATTATCCCATTGGATCCTTCCATCAACTCTGTAGAGTGGATATTATTATTCATGTTTTACTGAGGAAGATACTAGAACTCATTGAGTGCCTCATAGAACTAGTAAACGACTGAACCGGAGCTTGAACATGGAGTGTCTGATTCTATAATCCACATTTCTTGTCATTCACTGCATCTATGTAAACTCACCCTATGTTCCTTTTAGAATATCCTCGGACAGAATCTGAATGGGAAAACAGCTTTGCCCTGAAGATGTTCCTCTTCCAGTTTGTCAATTTAAACAGTTCTATCTTCTATATTGCTTTCTTTTTGGGGAGGTAAGTAACTTCACACACATTATCTTTGCAGAGTGAAAAGGATTGTCAACAGTTCATTGCCAATTTGTTAGCAAAGTGGCACTCTCTTATCCCATGCCTTGGAAAATGGTGCTGGTCAGTCTTCACGTATGTTTTTAATCAAAAGACTTCTCAGTACCGTGCCTTCTGCTGCCACGACCAATTAAAGTAGGCATTAAAAACAAAAAGCCCCTGTGCCATACTTGGGTTGAATTATGACTGTCCTGTCATCAGTAATGGTTTTGTTAAATAAGAAGATAATTTGTGTGTAACCCTAGGTTATAGTTTCTCAGTGTGGAAACTTTTACCTACCATGTTAATTTTTTTTCCTTACCTCCTGCAAAATACAAAAAAGAAACATATTCAACTACTGGTTTTGGTTTGCTATATGCTTAACAGCCCAGCCAGTGCCATGGAAGCATACTGAAGCTAGAGACATTTAAAGCTAAATAATTCAGCATGTTATATTAATATTCATTATCTAGGTCAACAGACATTAAAACTCTACAGGTGAAAAAGAACAATTTCATTCGGTTGGTTTGTCTGTACCATCTCAACCCATTGGTATTGAATTCACACATCACTTTTCCCTTTTTAAGTCAGGTATTTTGATGTGTGAGCATGGCCTGAGTCAACAGTCTGGGGACAGGTAGCCCCAGTGAACAATTATACCTACCCACACATGCACTTGTTGTGATGCATTAGTAGTTGCTCTTCAGTCAACCCCACATAAATGCTAACGAACTAAAATGGCTTTTTACAGATTTGTAGGCCACCCAGGAAATTACAATAAACTTTTTAACCGGTGGAGACTGGAGGAAGTAAGTAACCTTGTAAGGCTGGATGTGGGGATATGCATGGACGTGGGCCAATAACTGTGGGAGGAAGCGAGGCGGGAAGAGAGAGCGAGAAGGTACGTACGGGGAATTTTAGGTACGCTGAAAAGGCGACACAGAGAAAGCCTAAAACTTTGTAAAATCATGTGCTTTCTATTACAGAAAACTGGGTGCAAATGCTAACCTTGCTACTTATTAATTCCTTGCCCTTAATTTAAACTCTCTGAATATCTGTTTCCTCATCTGTACACTGGCAATAATAATAACACTTAGGTTGCAAAGTTGATGACACATGAGATAATTTGCATAACACAATTAGCACAATTCCTGGCCTGTGATAAGCACTGTATAAAGCGTGGCTGATATGCATCAGTGCGCTGTCTCCACAGCCAGCCAGGTATTATTCTATTGGCCAGAGAGACAGGCTAAGGCCTTTCAAAATCCCAGGTTTCTGGGAAGTCCCCAAATCAAACCTGCATTTGTCTTCCATTAGTCCAGAAGAATGACTACATCTGCTAAAATGCTTTTCATCTACCCAACTTGGGAACCAATGATTACTTTTTTTCCCTTGGAGTGTCCAACTGGAGTTAGCAAGGGTAGTGTGGAGAGAATAGTGGTTACAGGCAAGAAGGTCTGCATATTGATGTCATTATAGGGACTGCTGCCACCAGTAACTTTGTTTAGTTGGATATTCTTACACTTCATTATGAAATTATTGGAAGTCATGATTCTTCTTTGAAAATCCCAAGGAAATAATTAGAATACCGGTATCAGGCAAAATGTTTAATGACTCTCCTGGACATTTTCCGTAGTATATGTGACATAGATAGTGGCCATGTTTTTCAAGAAAGAATCATTTGAAAAAAATCAGTGAAATGAAAAATGTGGGTTTTCAGATAGACCCTAGAACTCCTGGAATTGTAGATATAAAGAGCATACATAGTGGAAGATAAGAAGCGACCCTCTGAATTCAATCCTACAACAAGCATTTATTGACATATACCCTGTTGTAGGTATACTCTGTAGGTATACATATAGTCTGCTGGGTCATGTGGGGTGTACACGAGATGTCCCTTTCCTTTTTTTGGTGCTATTAAGTCTTGAAGAAAAGAACGTAACCATGGTAGGTAACAAATATTTTGTCATTTGAGTCTGACAGTCTACATTCTAATTTTGTTCTAGTCAAATGCATGATTTTAAATATCTCTAAGTCTCAGTTTTTTATTTTGTATATTGTGATATAAATAGCTATTTCAGTAGCACTGGTGATAGGTGGACTAAATTAGATTATGCACATAAAATCCCTGGCACAAATGAGGGTAGCCATTGTAAAGAAAGCAAAAAGTACTACAAAGCAATTTAGAACATATATGAACAGCTATACTGGACTCTCCTCATACTATACTACACAATCTCTCACATAAACATTATATGTAAATACATATAAAATGTTAATAACAGCTAATATTTAATGAGTGTTTACTATATGCCAGCACATTTCAGCAATTGCTTCTAAGTGTTCTACGTATATTAATGCATTTAATCGTCACAAAAATTCTATTTTTACACTCTTTTACAGATGGGGAAACAGAAGCTTAGAGGAGTTATATATTTTGCCTAAAATTCTAGAAACATATTATAAATTTTTGAAGTCCTAAAATTGATACCATTTTGATCCAGGAAGACTAGCTTCAAAATCTGTGCTCTGAATAGTGCATATTCCACACACCATTGGGATAGCGTATAGGCCCAATCGAGAACATAATGGAAATTGATTTTCATAAGACATCGCTAAATGATTGCTGGCTCACACATGTAAATTGGATTTAGAGTAAATATTACAAGTACTAATTTGGGTGAAGTGAAAGGAGCATGGGCATTAGAGTTGGATTGTCCTATCTGCTGCTTAGTTTCATCATCTACATAATGGAGAAACCAACACCCATCTCACCAGGTTCTTATAAAGGGCAGATGAGAAAAACAGGTGAAGGCACCCAGCTTAGGGTTTGTCCATGGTCATATGATGTTGAGTGGTGCAAAGGGAATGAAAGCCTAGGTCTCC